CTTCCTTGTTTCTTTTACTGTAAGTCCTAACTCTAACACTGAAGATTAAAAATCTTAAGAGCACAATTTGATATGTGTCTGCTTAATCTTTGCTAAACAATATTTCTGTTAAATGAGTCTGTTTTGTATGTAATGACAATTCAATTGCGTTTGTTCTATTTTGTTTATTTGTTGCTTGTTATTGTTAAATTATCTTGTTTCATCACTTCACAGATAGTATTTAATGAATGTATTTCTTTAAAGAATACACACTACTTAATTTATATATTTTACCGCTATCAGATATTTGACTTTTAAATTTTTCCTTATTATGATAAAATCAGTACCAACATTTTTATATATGTATTTGGGTGAACATAATTATGTATTTTTTTTGAGTATTTATCTAGGAGTAATCGCTGGTTTATAGGTAATATAGTTTGAATGTGTCCCTGCCCAAAATCTCATCTTCAATTGTAATGCCCATAATCTGCACATGTCAAGGGCGGGACCAGGTGGAGGTAATTGAATCATGGAGACAGCCTCCCCTAGGCTGTTCTCATGATATTAAGTTCTCACTAGATCTGAGGATTTTATAAGTAATGCCTGGCATTTCCCTGGCTTGTACTCACTCTATCCTGCTGCCTTGTAAAGAAGGTGCCTGTTTTTCCTTTACCTTCTGCCATGATTGTAAGTTTCCTGAGGCCTCCCCAGCAATGCAGAACTATGAGTCAATTAAAACTCTTTCCCTTATAAATTACCAGTGTCAGGAAGTTCTTTATAGCAGCATGAAAACTGGCTAATACAATAGGGAATATTTAGGCTTAATAGGCTCTTCCAGTTGTCAAACTGTTTAATAGTTATTCTGTATCTTTATGAACAGTCAGGATTAGAGGTCTTAATTTTAGCCATACTGAATGGGTTGTAGGGTTGTTACATTGTGGTTTGCATTAGCATTTTTCCTGATGAGTAGTGGTGTAAATTTTTTTCTTCTACTTATTAACTGTGTTCTTCCTTTAAGGTTCCAGCTTAAGTTTTGGCAATATTTTATATTGAGTTGTCATTTTTAAATAAATGTATAATTAATTCATTGTAATATTTTACCGGATTATAAGCACTATAACTGATATATAATATATATCCATTATTTATATATTGTATAATAAAAATATCATATTGCAAGCAATGACTTCCCTATTCAATGTCTTAATGAAAACTTTGGTAAGCAGCATACTTATATTTAATATGAGTTATCATTGTTTTCATTTTCCATGATTTGTTTTATGACCAGTTAAAATATTTTTCTAATCAAAGGTAAGGTGTATTATACATTAAAGGACCTTCTGTGAATATTTTAAATAATCACAGAATTTTAATGAGTAAGAAGCAGAGTGAGATGGCATTTTAATTTTGTATCACTTTACTTTTCTCATTCTATTCAAGCATTCTGCATTTTGTACCTCATGAAAGGAATAAAAATAGAAGAAAGAGAACAAATATATAGAAGCTCTTGGTTTTTGAAACCCTAGCACAGGAAACCAGATTTAAGTATTTCTCCAATATTAGATACATTTTCTTTACAAATTTGATGCTACCCAATGATACCTAAGGATAGGTTGGCTAGGTGGGGAAGGATACTTGGAGGAGATGAAGAAAACAAAAATAGTAATGCAATCTGCTTGAGAAAAAAATGTATTTTATGTCCTGTCTTTCAGGGTAGGCCCAGTGATGGCAGGAAGTTTTGAGTCCTATTTTGTTTTAAGTTTTTAGGAAGAAAGGCGATCAGGTCTCTATTCCTATTAAGTTTAGGAAAAGGGCAAAATCCCCATGTTGGTATGGTGGCAACTGTGTGCACAGAGCATCAAAATAGCTTTACAGAATTATTTCTGGGACCTATCATTGAATAACCACAATAAAGTTTCCTCGGTAACACATTATCACAAGACAGCATGGAATCTGTGAATTTCTGAAACATTTTAACAACTGCTTATGTTTCTGCCTTGCCAGTGGATTGGAAACATAAAGTTTTACTTAGGAAACAAATTTTAAAAACTTACATTTGCTTCAATATTGCTTGTTCCAGGTGTGCCTATTGCTTAAACGTCTGAGAAAGCACATACATTTTTTCAAATTTAATAGTAACAGTGTCACATACATGTTAAGTTAAAATATCAGGGGTACAGTTAATATCAACCTTCCTTAATCCCAACCAACCTAATCTTCAGTTCTACTCCCTGAATACATTCACTATGAAATCTTCTAGATATATATTCTGGTATTTAATTATACATTAATTTACGATGGGTTTATTTAAAAATCTGGTGATTCATTCTGTTCAAACAGGATTTATTAATTACCTGCTATATACATGATAATTTAGATTAATTATATTAATATTCACTCAGACTCCCCAACTCCCCTTTTTCCTTTCTCTCCCACTCTCACTCTCTCATATATATATATGTGTGTATATGTATATATATATGTGTGTGTATATGTATATATACACACATATATACACATTTCATATATTTTCCTACAATTAAGCAATAAGTATTATTTTTATTGCTTTACTACTTTTGTTATTGTATTAACATAGTGTTACTTTGTACAATTAATATAGTGTTAATTTTTACTTATTATGTTAAAGAGATATTTCAACTTACACTGTAAATTATGAATACTGTCAATAATTTTTTTTTCCTTTGGCTTTTGTATATTTCACAACTCTAAATATAGTACTTCATGTTATTTTATTTTTACGTATTTTAAAATTCATTTTTTTTAACTTAAGGCCAGTAAGATGAGTCCTGCTAGAAAAGAGATAAGAGGCTTTATCTTATCTGATAACCATGATATCTTAATAAATTATTGGTGAGTGCTAAAGCATTGATGTGGGAAAGGGGAATACATCCATTGGTCATTGAGGACCTAAATCTGCAATATTATAACATCTCATAAATTCAGACATAACATTTACTCAAGAGATTCAGTTTGCTTCATGTGAATATGTTTTGGGAGCATTATTTTTGTGTCTCTGACTTCCTATTTACAATGTATGTGTCAGAAGAGAGGATGGGAAGGGATGTCTACTTCTGCTCTTGTCCCTGTATCCCTGGTGTAGAAAATGGGATCTTTCCAAGGAGACTCTGAGAAGTTATTCCTGGTTGATAGAAGAAATTTGAGTTGGCTGTAATTCTAGACATGACCCATAGGGCCCTAAATACTTACAGAGTAAAACTCTCTTCCCTTTAGTAGATATGCTAGAGCTCCCTGTTGGAGGTGAGTTTCTCATTAAATATGTCATAGATATGTACAGTGATCAGAGTCTCTTGTCTAACAGCTAAGGAACAGGCTACAGCTGAACATATTAAGCTGATATTCGATATCTCACTATTATAGAAAGATTTCCTGACAGAAAGAGGTCTTAATGGATCAGGCTGAAACACTTAAATTTTTAAAGTAACCATTTGCAAAGGGAACTTTAAGTTGTGGTATAAATGAAAATTTCCACTTCCAGGGATAATCGTGTATTAAGGCATAATTTTTAATAAAAGCAACCATAATGATAATAGTAAACAATGTTATCAGAGGACCAGAGATACATGCAGATTTATACATTTGATTGCAAAGAGGGTGGTAAAAAAAATAAGAATACAGGATATGAACTTTATATAATCTCACACAATTTACTGGCTAGGAAAACTATATTTTTAATGGTTTTTAAAAACTATATTTTTAAAATACTTTTCAAAATTTGGACTTTCCCTTGTTATTTTTCTCTGGACTCAAAAACTGTATTTTCAATAGTTTTCAAAAACTGTATTTTTAAAGTATTTTTCAAAATTCGAACTTTCCCCTCTTATTTTTCTCTGGACTCAATTAGATTCAAGACAGACCTTCCTCCCTTCCTTTTTTCTCTTTTTTTATTTCTTTCTTCTACTTTTCTTTTTAAAATAGTTTTCTTCTTTCTTGCCATTTCTTTCTATACCCCTCCATTTTTTCCTTCTTTTTGCAATAGTCCTATGTTATCTTTTCCTTCTGGAAGGAAGAAGGAAGGAAGGAAAGAAGGGAGGGAGGGAGGGAGAGAAAGGGAAGATCAGAGCTGCAGTGTGGGAAATCAGTAACATGGATCTTTTTAGCCTGGTGCCAACCACTGTCATTGCCTTTTTAAAATTTCTCTCAAGTTTCCTTATTTCAACAAACCCCTTTATTTCCCCACTCCCAACAGTATTAGATACAATTAATATTCCTGGGAATTTATCAGCGAGTAGAAAAGTTGGTCTTATTTATAAATTATGTTCTCACCAGAAGACTACGGGCAAAAACACACATTTCTCTTCTGGGGGTGATTTCCAGCTGCAGTGTTTTTCACCTTTGTGCAACTATTTTCACATCTAAAGTATGACATAATACAGTGTGTCTATGGGGTATAGGAATAAACATATAAAGAGCAAATTAATAAAGCATAAGTTTTTATTTTGGGTATGGTTTTCTAAATATGCACCATGGAAATTACTGATACCAAATAAGCCGGTTTAAGAGTTCTGCTAGATTTTCTGTCACTCTTCATGGCTAGTTACCCTTAGGTTTTTGTATATATTGTCATGTTTGGTGGGCAGGTATCAGTGTCTGTCTTTCTGTGATTTTGTACGTTGACCTGTATAATTAAGGTCTGTTTTGTCTTCAAAAAAGACTGACATCTCACTATAACATAACCTTCATTTTTGAAATTCATTCCAGGTTTTGTATGGGGTTTGAACAAATAAGTAAATTATTGTCCAGAACCTCAGAGGAAGACTGAGGTCTCCCTCCGAGTCATAAAGCTAATTTGTCTTCCAGTCGAAGAATGCTCAGTCCGTGTCTAGATCTGACTTTGTACTCCAGCTTTGGCATTAGCTTTCTAATAATAAAACTAGACATAAAATTAAGCTTATTGGAGAGGTTTTGAGCTAAACATTTATAAATTTAAATTTTCCTTCTACGGGTGGTCAGCTACTGCTTTTGTCATTAATGGCAAGATGTTCCACACCAACACCACCATTTTCTACCCAGATACCTTTTTTCTGACAGGCATCCCAGGACTTGAGGCTTTCCATGGCTGGATTTCCCTGCCCTTTTGCTCTGTTTACTTAATGGCTCTGCTGGGCAATGCTACAAATCTACTGACAATCTGGTCTGAGCATACTCTTTGGGACCCTATGTTCTACTTTCTAGCCATCTTATCAGCCATAGACCTAGCTCTCTCAACATCCTCAGTGCCTCGTATGTTAGGTATCTTCTGGTTTGATGCACATAAAATTGGCTTTGGAGCCTGTGTAGTCCAGATGTTTCTGATACATACCTTCACAGGAATGGAGTCCACTGTGCTACTGGCAACGGTCTTTGACGGCTATGTAGCCATCTGTACACCACTCCACTATACCTCTATTCTGACACCCCGAGTGTTGGCAGGCATTGGTGTGGGCATTATATTGCACCCAGTCCTGCTCATGTTGCCCATTGTCTACCTAAACCATCATCTGCCCTTCTGTGAGGCTCGGATTATTGCCCACACCTGCTGTGAGCACACGGGCATTGCAAGTTGGCCTGTGCTAGCATTCACCTCAATGTGATTTATGGGCTTTTTGTGGCTTCTTTTCTTATTTTGGATGTGACACTTGTTGGAATCTCCTATACCTGCATTCTCCAAGCTGTTTTCCACCTCCCATCTCAAGAAGCTTGTCATAAAGCACTGAGCACGTGTGGCTCACATGTTGGGGTGATGTGTGTTTTCTATACACCCTCTCTCTTCTCCTTCTTCACCCATCGATTTGGCAAAAAAATTCCCCATTATGTCCACATTACTGTTGCCAACCTCTATGTGGTCATTCCACCTGCCCTCAATCCTATTATCTATGGTGTGAGAACCAAGCAGATTCATGAGCATGTGGTCCATACTTTCACCTCAAGGTAAGGTCTCTTATTTCTTTACTTCTTGAGGGTGTGGATATGGCTGACAAAAGTCAATTTTGAGATTTCACTAGATAATTGTTTTGTAAATGAATTTCATATCAAGAGATTCTGCAAATCGTAAAGGAATAAAATTTGCACTTATCCTGTGTAAACTAAAATAATTCAAAGATTCTTAAAGTACAACTCTGCATGACAAGAATTACTAGGTATATTATTAGGAACAGTGAATGATGGGTTGGATTGCCTGTAAATCAACCTTTGTGAGTGAACATTTTGATAGCTCCCTCTTGGATCTGTTTGGTCTTCACTCCATAGACAATAGGGTTAAGCAGGGGTGGAACAAGCAGGTAAAAGTTGGACAGAAGAATGTGTACATAAGGAGCAACACTGAAGCCAAACCTGTGTATAAAAGATATTAAAAATGTGAGAATATAGAACTGGAGAAAGACAAAGATGTGAGTTGTGCACGTGTTGAATGCCTTGAATCATGCCTCCTTCTGTGGCAATTTGAAGATAGCCTGGAAGATAAAGGCATAGGACAAGAAAATGAAGATCACATCAAATCCAAGGACTGAGAAACCCACAAGCAGTCCATAAGCTTTATCGGCTCTGACATTTTCTGCAGCCAGCTTTACCACAGCCATGTGCTCACAGTAGGAATGAGAGATGGCTGCGGCATGGAAATGCTTCAGGCACAACTTAATTAGAAGTGGACACATGATGATGATAACAGATGCTGGAATGGTCACCACCATAATGACGCTGATGAGCACCTTCATAGTGAGGATAGCAGAGTGTCTCAGGGGTACACAGATAGCCACATATCAGTCAAAAGCCATGGCCAGGAGAATGCCAGACTCCATGCACTGGAAAGTGTGAGTAAAATACATTTGAATTAGACAGGGGTCAAAGTAAATCTCCCTTGATTGCAGCCAAAAGATCATGAGCATTTTCGGAGTAATGCATAAGGTCAGGCGTAGGTCAGTAGCTGCCAACACAGCTAAAAAGATATACATGGGCTCATGGATACCACACTCAGTGTGGATGATAGTGATGAGTAGGACATTTCCAACAGCAGACAAGATAAAAGACATGAAGAATGGAATTCCAGTCCAGGCTGCACTGATTCAAGGCCCGGAATTCCAATCAGTATGAAAATAGATGACTTGAAGAAGGTGCCATTGGTTAGTGAACATTACCACACACCTATTAAGTAACCAAACAATGTTAATAATTTCGAAGAAATGTTTTTAAATATTTTTAAACACTTTCATATGTAACCAATTATAATATTTGTAAAAATTACTCATGATACATATTTTTAGTTGCTGTGTTTATAAAAATGAAGGGAGCATTATTTATTTACCCAATCCAACATGCCTGAACCATACTGTTACCTCTCTTTATACACTCAGAGGGATACAGCACAGGGAAGACTCCAAATCAAAGTAAAATATTTATTGTGAACATTTTTTCTCTCTTGGGCTCCCACTTTTTCATTATCCTAGTAAAGAATAGATATAAATCTTCAGGTGGTTTTCCCTTTCATCTAGATTAGAATCATTCTGAGATAAACATCTACTTTTTTTCTTCTTATCCAGCATCCAAAGGATAGTCCACTTCTAATCTTATTTTATTTGTTTCATTATTTTTAATTAGACTTGAAGATTGGAGGGATTTGCTACTCAGGAGGTTGAGGCAGGAGAATCGCTTGAATCTGGGAGGCAGAAGTTGCAGTGAGCTGAGATGGCGCCTCTGTACTCCAGCCTGGGCAACAACAGCTAGACTCTGTTTCAAAAATATTAAATCAATTAATCAATCAATCAATAAAAAATAATGGCAACCCAAAATGCCCATGATACTCACATAATATTCATAATATTCATTACATAGCAGGTGTCACCAGAATGGAATAATCAAGTGGCTTTTAAAAGATACCTGGTAATCTCAACACTTGCCCACTGGTTCAAGCCAGAATGAAACTGTACCTCTATAGCATTATATTTAAAATATCAACAATGACAACAGCTGGTATTACTACGTCAATAGTAGTATTAAGGGCTTTGCATGAATTACATGCATTTCTCATGCAATTATAAAGAGCAACTGAACTGAAAGTGTTGTTATCACCGTAACATTTTCTCTCTGTTAAATTAAATAGCTTGGTCGTGGATCTAGAAATTTAAAACAAGTTATGTCTGACACTGTTGTCTATGCAGTTAAGAGATACTATATATTTTCTGCTCACTACTGGCTTAAATTCAACAGATTTCAGTTAGGTGAGGAGGAACAAAAACTAGGACAGATATCCCTCATTGCATCAGCAGTTATTTATATGCTCTTTCCTCATCACGTTCCTTACTATTACACAGTATTACTCGTATATTTAATGTCTTTCATAAAAATCCTTCCTCTTTTTCATTATCTCCTCTGTCAGAGTAAGGAACAGACCACTGTCTCTCTAATCATAGCATGTTGAATATCTGAGTGCCTCTTCTACTTAATGCGAAAACAACCATGTTAATCTTAGTTTCAGAAAAGAAAAGTATAAGTATTTGTGTTGGGATATTCTGCAAGTGTAGTTCAGGTCGGCAAGTACCTTGATTGCAATAGGGTTTATAATAGTCAAGACACTTCCCTTAGGAGTCTGGCAGTACCCTAGAGACAGAGAATATTTCTGTCTTTCCAAAGTTATACATCTCATACGAGACCTCAATTTTCTCTTTACTTACTGAGCTTCTAATAAAACCAAAATCAAAACAAAGCAATAACACCGACAAATTTAGGAAATGAGAAAATGGGCAAAGGAGAAGCAATTAAAAAAAATTAAAAATTGAAATAATAAATAGCTTATCCTCAGTATTAATAACAGAAGAAGGTCTACCCCACATCCATGAGGAATTTTTCCATGAATCTACAAAAGGGCACAGCATAAATATTTTACACATATTCAAACTTGAAATTGCCTTACTTAAATATCTTAATGACCGTAGGCGCCTTCCAATGCAGTAGAAATCTTAAGCCTGGTGTTAATTAAACTCCATTAATAATTAATTCATTTATTCACTATATAATTATTTGACAATAGATGAGTGCCAGGCACTCCTCTAGGCATGGTTTAAATGCCAGTGAAGCAGAAAGCTAAGACCTCTGCCTCTATGCCACTCAAATTTTCAAATATATCTCTAGTATTAATTCCAAGTTATATTTTAATGCTCAATGAAGCAATATTTTGCTTTTATTCATTATATTTTTAATCATAAACACCCTCCCTTAATTCATTGTATTATTTAATTCCAATTAATAATTGCACATCTTTCAAGACTCATTCCAAACCTTCTTCCACAAAGCATATCATGTCTCTTTATAACCTTTTTATATTTTATTTTATTTTATTTTATTTTATTATTTTATTTATTTATTTTTTTAAGTGATACTCTTCCTTGTCCACGTACTCAAATTTTAATGTAGGGAATTTTCTTAGATATGCATTCGTTTATGGTCCACTTTGCTCACCATAGCCCTCCCTTTCCCTTCACCCAAGATAAGTGTCATGAGTATAGGAAATTTGCTTCATCCCTTGCTGTATTCTTTTTTTTTATTATTGTTTTTAATATAATTTGTTTTTAGTTTGACCCAAGTCCTTTTTTTAGTTTTGTATTTGAAATGCTTTTTCCTATTTCTTTTATTATTATTATTATTATTATACTTTAAGTTCTAGGGTACATGTGCATAACGTGCAGGTTTGTTACATATGTATACTAGTGCCATGTTGGTGTGCTGCACCCATCAACTCGTCAGCACCCATCAACTCATCATTTACATCAGGTATAACTCCCAATGTAATCCCTCCCCCCTCCCCCCTCCCCATGATAGGCCCCGGTGTGTGATGTTCCCCTTCCCGAATCCAGGAGATCTCATTGTTCAGTCCCCACCTATGAGTGAGAACATGCAATGTTTGGTTTTCTGTTCCTGTGATAGTTTGCTAAGAATGATGGTTTCCAGCTGCATCCATGTCCCTACAAAGGACACAAACTCATCCTTTTTGATGGCTGTATAGTATTCCATGGTGTATATGTGCCACATTTTCTTAATCCAATCTGTCACTGATGGACATTTGGGTTGATTCCAAGTCTTTGCTATTGTGAATAGTGCTGCAATAAACATACGTGTGCATGTGTCTTTATAGCAGCATGATTTATAATCCTTTGGGTATATACCCAGTAATGGGATGGCTGGGTCATATGGTACATCTAGTTCTAGATCCTTGAGGAATCGCCATACTGTTTTCCATAATGGTTGAACTAGTTTGCAGTCCCACCAATTGTGTAAAATTGTTCCTATTTCTCCACATCCTCTCCAGCACCTGTTGTTTCCTGACTTTTTAATGATTGCCATTCTAACTGGTGTGAGATGGTATCTCATTGTGGTTTTGATTTGCATTTCTCTGATGGCCAGTGATGATGAGCATTTTTTCGTATGTCTGTTGGCTGTATGAATGTCTTCTTTTGAGAAATGTCTGTTCATATCCTTTGCCCACTTTTGGATGGGGTTGTTTGTTTTTTTCTTGTAAATTTGTTTGAGTTCTTTGTAGGTTCTGGATATTAGCCCTTTGTTAGATGAGTAGATTGCAAAAATTTTCTCCCATTGTGTAGGTTGCCTGTTCACTCTGATGGTAGTTTCTTTTGCTGTGCAGAAGCTCTTTAGTTTAATGAGATCCCATTTGTCAATTTTGGCTTTTGTTGCTGTTGCTTTTGGTGTTTTAGACATGAAGTCTTTACTCATGCCTATGTCCTGAATGGTACTACCTAGGTTTTCTTCTAGGGTTTTTATGGTATTAGGTCTAACATTTAAGTCTCTAATCCATTTTGAATTAATTTTTGTATAAGGAGTAAGGAAAGGATCCAGTTTCAGCTTTCTACTTATGGCTAGTCAATTTTCCCAGCACCATTTATTAAATAGGGAATCATTTCCCCATTTCTTGTTTCTCTCAGATTTGTC